GAGCTGTTTTAGTTAGTCATTTGCAACTTTTTTTTAAAAAAAAATGTTCACTCTTTTCAACTGTGTGCCTGCCCAGCTTCCTCTGAGACATTAAGATGATCTCATTATCCACATTCTACAGAGATCTGATTTCCACTAAGGCCTTCTTCACTAAAGGCCTTGAGCAGACAGTATGATTGGCAAGGCGAGAATAGACAAAGTTACAAGAAGTAGTTTTCACACTTCCCTAGATGCCAAAAGTGCAGAAAATGGTTAAACTTCACTCTATGTAAGACTCAACAGCACAACAGAGCAGCCAATCATCTTTTTTATTTGCACCTTTGCCCCTGATAGAATGGCAGCCTGTAATTGCTGTTCTCCCCACTGTCAGTGAATTAAGCTGATGGAGAGTGGAGTATAAACTAAAATTTTCATCACCATTACTTTAATCATTTTCTACTATTCTGCTTCCCAGCGATGACTTCTACTACACTGCAGAATAATTCCACTCACTTGTTTGAGCTAATACACACCACTGAAATCCAGTGTTGAGGGGATATTGTCAGTTTAACTTTGACACCCAGAAAGATCCCGGAACATATCACCAAGGAATTTATCTCTAAACACCTAGGGCTTGGTCCCACATGGAGGGGCATGTACTTGCAGCGGCACAAGCAGCAGTGGCTCAAATTTGTGCCGCTGCTTTGTGACCCATCACATGCTCCTGCATGTGTGCTTTGGCATACTGCAAATTGTCATGGTTGGTGGTACAGGAGGCTGGGGCTAGCTCCAGCAATATTACCAAGTGCCCTGGTGTAATAGGGGTGCAGATCCAGTAGCATGAAGCCTGGCCAGCAGCCAGAGCATTGCCCTGGGCAGCCAGCCCTCCTTGTATTCTGGCACGTGCTACAGACAACACTTTTTTTCTTGCAGCGGGGTTTTTTTGCTATCAGTACATCCCAGGAACAAATTTTGCCCCCGTGCTGCAAATTTGCAATGTGGGCATGTTTTAACATTCTGGGTGTGTGGTTTGTGTTGCCACAAAGAGGTCTACAGTGCTACAAACCACACATGGCTGCACGTCTGGATGGGTTCCTAGAGGATAACAAAGTGATAAGGAATAGCTAACACAGATCAAGGACAAATCGTGTTTAACCACCTTGATGTTATTCCATGGTATGGTGACAGACTTTGAGCATGGGAAGAGAGTAGCTTTGGGTGCCACAATTCAAGAGAAATGTGGACAAACAGGAAGAGTCCAGGGTAGAACAACATAAGATTATCAGGGGTCATGACATTAGAGAAAGAGTTGGAAGAACTGGGATTAGTCAGTCTGGAGAAGACAAGACTGAGGGGAGATTTAATATATCTTCAGTTACAAAAGGTTGTTTCAACAAAACTGGTGGTTAACTATATTCTGTGCTCACAGGATACAAGATAAGTAGCAAAAGCCATTAATTGCAAAGGGAAATTTAGGTTCAATATTAAGAAGAACTTTCTACTACTAGGGTGGGTACATCCTGAAATAATTCCCAAGAGAATCATCATTGTTGGAGGTTTAAGAACAGGTTAAACAATTTGTTAGAATGCTTTAGACAGGGATGTTCCAGGCTTATGTAGGAGTTGAACTACACTACCTCCTGAGGTCTCTTCAACTATATTTTAATATGAATAGACAATGCAGAAAAAGTGGGGGAAAAATAACCCCAAATAATGCTTTCCTGCACCAGTTCCTAAGCCAGCAGATGATCCTACTTCACAGCTATTACTCAAATCTATTTTTGGCCCCGACGTGCCCAATTTTGCCTCTATCCCACTTAAGGTACCTAAGTAAAAAAACCTATAATCCTGCAAAACCCTGCTTAGTTAATGTCTGTCCAACTCAGAGGGTGCCTGTATTTTATAGGTACCTGTTTTTGACATTAAATTTCTGCCTTTGGCACACAGAGAAGCACCCTAGTCTAAAGTGTCTGTAACTTGGGAGCTTCCAGCTGTCAATTTTAAGGGGTACCAGGAGGTACTTCCCTTTACTAAGGAATCTAAACCCCGTAGAAGGCAGGGATTACAGATGCAGCCCTGTCTTCATTTCCCTAGGTAGCTCCCTGATGATTGTACTAGCTGTTTTGTATCCCATCCTGAAGTGCCCAACTCTCCCTGTGCATTTTACAGGGAATCCAGGTGCCCAGCACAGGGTTGTTGATTCCATTAACAAGGCTAAGGGGTGGGGGTGGTGCACTGGTTTCACTTGCACCCCACTTTGATTCCTGCTCTACTCAAGGTTTAAAACCAAATGCCTGGCAGTGGCAGCAGTATTTCTAGGCAGGCGGTGCTGAGTCAGTTGACTTCATGGCTCATTATAATCTACCTGATCTCTTTATTCCACAGATGCTAACAACCCTCTCTTTTTTTAAATGGTCTTGATGTTCCACCAATCAAGCTACCTTTTGTTCTGCAATTCTGCCCTCTGGTAGACCTGCTCCTGGTAACAAAGCTCCTACTTCACACTCCTGCAGACTGTTTTTAATTCATTCCAATGAAATTATATTTGTTTTTGCTTCAACATATCCCTAGGATTTTAGCGCGTTAGGAAAGCTTTTATTTTTAACTAGACAAAAATACGTTTCATATGTGATGATGCACGTCATCATATGCACCCCTTTTAAAAATTCTATATCCACCCATGTAGGTATCTAATACTTTTTGTGAACTTGAGCCCTACGGGTCTCCCTCTGCAAGGGGTAAAGATCAGAAGACACTGGGTTATAGACGAATCATATACCATTGCTATATCCCTGCTACCAAGGTTTCCTTTAAGCTCTGCATGTGCGCGGCTGTGCACAAAAACAAATCTTGCTGCAGATTAACTTTTAATGCTGCACACTCGTCTGGAGAAGAGCTGGACCCCAGCTTCCTAGAAACCCAGAGCACAGCAGAGGCACTGGGGCTGGCGGTAAGTTACAGCTCAACTGTGCTCCACTCCTCACCACGCTGGCATCCCCATGGGGAATGAGAGCAGTGTGGGGGCAGGCAGTGGCTCCTCCCTGAGGCAAGGTGGGGGTGGAAACAGGGGCTCAGGCACAGCCAGGCACTGTATGGGCTCTACTGGCTCTGGGGAACTGCTCTGCTCCCCAGCCCCTTCAGGCACATTTCACCCCGAGCCCCAATGTCACATGCCTCCTTACTGCCTGGTCTGCCCAGTTGCAGAACTCATAAGGCTCCACGCCGCTTTCAAGGGCTGCGGAGGCACAGAGGCAGTGTTGATCATTTTTGAAAGAGTGATGTAATCTGCCAGCTGGACACACTGAAGGTATGCCTGGTCTGCCCTCAGCATCTGAGAACTTTACAAAGTATATTAAAGGATGTGATTTATGTCTGTCGCATGAAATCCACTCTCTTTTGCATGCTCTCCTCAGGTGGAGAATTATACATAAACTTTTCTGCTTTGGTAGGGTTTTATATTTTAATTTAAAAAAATAAAATATATATTTAGTTTAGTATTTCAAGACTCTTTTCTTCCAAATAACTTTGCGAGAACAATTTGTTCAGTGCGCCAAAGGGGGAGGCGAGACCAATTGGGGAACAGACCAAAGCAGCGTGCTCACGGACCAAAGCAGCGTGCTCATGGATTGCTAAGCCTTAGAGGGAACATTGCCTGCTACTATGACAGCACACACAGATGGTCCTTGCTAAGTTCAGCACTGGCTATAAATACAGAGTTAAGGACTATTATAGCGCCCATTGGGCAAAGGATGTGTGAAAAATGAAAGTAGGCAGAACTTCCTATCAGAGCCAGAACTTTCATACATTTTTTTTTTTTGCTGGAAGTCCTGTAATAAGTCCACACTACCCTCCACCACTTCCGTTAAAACTTAGGGTGCAAAGGAAATCACAATCTATCTTGTAGCAAAATTATCAGAAACATTGTGAACCTCTTGCTTAAGAGAAAAAAAAGTGTGTTAGAATTTATTGTAGAAAGGTTGATAATTATTTCCTTAAAAAAAAACACAACTACCGTCTACTTTCTTAAGCTTTTGTGTACAAGGATTTAAGTAAACAAATTGTTTCTCTGCTGCAGTGGTTCTCAACCTGGGTCCCAGGGCACCTTGGGCATCCACGAGATTCTTTGAAAGGTGTGAGAAGATAAGCAAGAAGTGAGGACATAAGTAGTTAAACTAAGTAGATAAGTGTAAGCTCAGGCAGTCTCTGCCTGGCTGACTCTCCCCCACCACTGTCCAGCCTGAAAGCAGGTAAGCACTATAATAAATAAATTTGTTTTGTGTAATTCTCTTCACAAAAGCTATGGAGAAATGTCTTGTGTCTAAAGAGGTTGTGAACCACTGTTCTGTTGTCTCCCAAGTCACATACCCCGCAGCCAGGATAAGCAGGAAGAGAACTTTAAACTGAAAAGTGTGTGTTAAAATAACTGCATTCAGTTTAAAAGCAAAAGCAGGTTTTAAATGTTGTTCCAAACTTCAGAATATTCCAATGCATTTTTGTAGCTGTAAAAAGAAGGAAGAAAAAAAAGAACACAATCACTGTTAGATTATATGAATCTACTAATATCTACCTCTTCCCATCAGTGGATTTTGAAGTGTTTATGTAGGTGCGCTAAGGTCAGCTAACATACTAGTTGCAGAACTGGAAATAGAACTTGGGTCTCCCAAGAACCGCACTCAACCCCTTGAATCACATTGTCTTCTAATGGACAGTCTCAGGATACGTAGTTCATAGAAATAACATTTATAAAAGTCGATTCCACTTGTCAGTGGTGTTGCATAATCCACATTTGTAATCATACAACAAAGCAACACTCTGCTAAGTTCTCTCCCATGCAGAGATCATTTCCAGACTAAGTGGAGTAAGAAGAGAACCATCACATTTACTAGAAAATGCAGTCAAGTTCAACTTGGAATTAAATAGTTTGATGCCACTCTCAGTATTTCAGCATTGACAGAAACCTGCTGGCATCAAAAAACTTGATATACAAGTCCATGTGTTCAATCAGACCACCTGAACATCAATAATGGTGTAATTCATACCCTATTATAATACACAGAGGCTGGCATACAAGCTGATTAAAAGTTTTAACACTTTTAAAAAAAGTGAAAACCAAATATTGCCCTCCAAACTGCACACACTCTCCACGGGTAGTGAGAGGGAGTTATCACAAAACAACATTGAGACCAAGAGCAGCTTTGTACTATAATATGAATAATGTATGATGGTACCACACCAAATAAGATCAGAATCCCACTGATTTTGGTACCCATTCAGCCTCACAGAGAGACAGTTCCCTATTCCATTATCTTAGAACTTATTTTGAAATGCAAGGTAATAGTTCCTTGCTTAAGTTGCACAGATGCAGAAACAGCAATCAAACTAAAAAGCTAACCCCACAGTAAGGCTGAAGCAGAAGACTGATGCTCATTAAAGGACTGTGTTCTGTACTGTACTACTACAGTCTCCAGAGACATAACAAAAGGTCCTTCAGGCAAGCTTGTTAGCCCACTCATGTAGAGCTCATTAGCACATGCCAGCAGACAAATGAGAAGTGTAGGTGGATAGTGAGCCCAGCCTGAAGTAAGTTTGTAGTTCTCAAAAGTTTCTAAATATCTGTAATTAGTATTTCAACCTCATTCCTTCCACATTTTTAGTGCCTTGCTCACCATTTTAAAATTACCACTATTTATAGCAGAAACTGTATTTTTTTCGATTTCTCAAAAATCCAGGTCTTAAGATTACTTCCATTCCAATTTGATAACACCATTTTTTAGTTTGAGGCCCTTGGCAGACATTACTTGTTGCGCACTATATCCAACGATCACATGACAAACTGTAATATGCCAAGCCATTAAACCAGCTTATCCTTAGATAAAAATGGTGCATCAGCCACAAGGAAGTTTCTTATTGAGCAGCAACTTTTGTGGTGCAAAAGTATCCTGCAATAATTCTGAGATAGCCAGGTGGCATATTACTATTTGCTGTGCAATGCTTCCACATGTGTGACGAAATGTGATGTTTGCCAAGGGCCTTAATATGCTAATCATTAAACTTATGAAGCATTCTGCATGATTACTTGACAAGTCAGATATCCTCTCAAATTTTTATTTTCCTACACATGCTTGAGGCAAGCCTGATTTTGAAGGCCAACTTTAGGTCAACACACAGGTTACCATGAAGTCCAAACATACTAGTGTTACATTACACCCTTTATTGTGTCTTGGACAGCTATGATTTATTTACATGATGATATAAATTAGTTAAAATCAGAACCCTGTAGCCAAACCCTATGATAGTCAAATTTTGTACAAAGTTACTTATTGATTTATCAAAACAATAAGATGAAAAGAATAATTGTTTCTACTGTTTTCTGTATTTTAAAATTTGGAGAAGGACTTAAATCATCACTATTGTATAGAGGCCTTTGAGGCTCTTTAGGATTTTAAACAGTTGTAATAAAGAGAAAGCTAGAAACCATTAAAATGACATACCATTATGGCTCAGTGACTTCAAAAGAAAGACTAAACCCCGGACAGATATTATATTGCCTTTGCAGTGGTCCAAAAGTCAGGCAACAAATGCATGTCCCCTCAGTTGGTGGTGGTGAGGGAAACATAAAAGAAGAGCAGAGCACTCTGGGATGCTGGAGATATAAAGACCCCCTCTAGCACATTACATGTGGTGATACAAAAATGTAGCACTACAGAGAAGTTCCCATTTCAAACAATGCCATTTTTGTAGTGTTGGCACCATTTTTGTAGTGCAACACTTGTAGCCCTACAAATGAACACATCAAGGTTTAAGCTGAACTTCATCCAAGGAAGTGTAGAAATCAGTCCTCCTCCGAGTCACTGTCTTTCTTTGTGGACAAAGAACTCTTGATTGAGGACATTAGCTGATCCTGGATCTGTTTCCTGGGGTTTTCTTCTAGATCTGTCTTGATGGCACCTGACTCTGAAATCTTCCATTCAAGTTCTATACAGAAACAAAGAGGAGGAGAGAAAGTTCATCATGAGGTTGAAGGCTCAAAGTAAGCTCTTTCAAGCCTAGACCTCTCCGTTAACACAAAGGGTGGAATTCTACCTTCCTGGTGTACCTAAATGGCAACTTTCTAGCTTGTTCTAGTGGTGTTTTTTTGGCACTTTTGTGGAGGTTTCAATTCTATTGCCCCACATAGTGCACATAAGTGTAAGCATACACAGTGGACTATGCACTGGCTTGTTATGTATGCAGCCAAATGTGTGTCTAATCTGGGCATGTACATGCATCTAAATTACAAGAACATAAACAACCCATAACTAACAGATGTTAGATGCTGCAGGATGGTTCTTCCATATTTTAGCCCCAATAATTGAGTGGTGAGGGCATTTGCCCAAGGAGAGGGAAGATGGACTCTGCTCTCATCCAGAGGGGATCAGAACAGACCTTCCAGCAGAGTGTTGGGAACCACCAGGCCACAGATCAGACACTATCCAGACCAGGGATGGGTAAAGTCTGGCCTGTAGGCCAGATCTGGTAGGCAGTGGACTCCATTTCCCAGCAGCCCTTGCCCACATGGCTTTGGCTGGTCTCCACAGAGACCCCAGCAGTTGTGAAAGCTCCAGGCTGGGGTTGCCATGGAGACCAGTCCCAGCCCTACTGGCAGGGCACAGGGCAGAGAAGGGCAGGGGGCTACTCTGGAGGGGCTGCTGGGAAATGGAGTTCGGCTGCTGGCTGGATCGGCTGTTTCACCCATCCCCGATTCAGACCCTTCTCCAATGCTCCTTTTGAAGTCAGTCCTCTGGGTAACCAAGAAGGAGAAATGTGGAGTCACAGGGAACAGCACAAGCTAGAGCAGGGGTGGGCAAAATACGGCCTGCAGGCTGTATCCAGCCCACTTCCAGCCTGCCAGCCACTGCAGTCTTAGAGTAGCTTATCATATTTTATACTTTAAAGTTGCACCTGTTTACAGAGCAGTGAATTACAGTATTGTTTAAACTTTTTTTTTTTTTTTTTTTAAATATTCAGCCTTATTTAATCATTGCTTAAGTTCTATATAGCCTCATCATTATCTGAACTTTTCATTTTGCTTATCAGCTGCCCTTGAGTTGTTTTTGCAGAGCTCAAAGTGCTGATATCTATATTGTATCTTTTCTTTTCTATCACTGTGAGAAGTTCTTCTAACATAACATAGTAATGGCCTTACTACCAGCTCAAATGAACTGAACTTGGAACTAGCCATACCACTGCTCTGCCACAGCCAGGACTGGGCTGGGCAGTGCGGAGACTCCTCTGCCCCTAGTCCTGCATCCATCCCCTCTCCCCCACTCAGCTTCCTCTTGGCACTGCAACTGCACACTCCTGGAACCATGGCTGCTGGCCGCTGGACACACATGGGACAGGGCATGATGCAGTGTACCAAGTAGTCATCCCACCTGCTTGCCTGCCGCTGCCCCTGATCTTCCCGGTATGGCGCAGCAGCAGTGGCTCATCGTGGCATGCATATGCGATAGCTAGTTGATAACACTGCACCATGCCCTGTTCTGTGTGGGCCCAGTTGCCAGTGGTGCCAGGACTATGCAGCACCAACAGGAAGCAGGAGGTGGGGCAGGGCAGGGTACAGAGAAGTCTGCCTAACCCTGGCTACAGCACAGTGAAGTGCAGTCCTCCCTTCTCAGGCTCCTGACAGCAGCTTGTGAGCAGGATAGGATCAACTGCATCTCCCCAGTTACCCGCCAACCTGCCCTCAACAGCTCACCATTAAGCGGACCTTCAGTCTAAATAACTGCCCACCCCTGAGCTAAAGGATGTGAAGCTCAGGAGGGATGGCTGCTGCCCTGGAAGAGACGGGGCCCTAGTTTCTAGCTCAGAGCCCTACTCCCAATGGAGCAGAAACTTTTCCACAGCACTGCCTGCCATGCATTTCATCCAATGACTACTAAATGGAAGGGGCATGGGTCCAGCCTCAGAAGAAACATTGGAGAGGTGACTGCGTAATGTCTGACTTGTATGGTTAGTACATAGTGCTGTGAAGTCTGGGACACAAGTTCAAGTACCCTGAGTGAGGGGAATCTAGAATCCAGGTCTCCCACTTTCTGGACAAGTCCCAACCACTCAGCTATTAAGGCTAAAACACAGAAGGCACCCCCTCCCCACAACTTTTCCAAATTCATACCCTGGTATATGCATACATAGCTACATATGTGCCCAGCCAGTGTGTAGCTGTCACACGCATTCATTCTATGCGTAGGTGTTTATACCTCCACAGTGCGGAAGCAAGATCAGCAACATAGGAACACTGCCATTTAGGTAAACAAAGTAAAGAAACTTCTACCTGAAATCTTTACTTTATGAGACACAGTATAGAAAAGCCACAAATAAGTCTTGTGTGTCTTGGGAAATTTAAACTATGTTTAAAATGGACTAGTCAATGGTTCTCATTGATTGTAGCAATACTTCCAACAGACAAAAGTTGCTTCAATCATACAGCAGCTGAACAATTGGAAGAGAACAGATTATCTGCTAAGGGAAAAAGCTGCAGCAATTCCATTTACACATCTGAATTACAGATACTGTCACAGACAGATTTTTGAAATACACTTTATCCACTTCCCAGCACTCCTTGTACAGATTATTAGTTCCTTAACAAGAGGGGAAAAACTACACTCCTCTACCCACTAGTAGACCTATTATTATAGAGGCTCAAATTGGATTTCTTCCCAGAAGTGGAAGAGAGTCAATACAAGACATTCAACAGATACCTCTCCCCTAGACCTGCTGGCAATCCAATCATTAAATCTAATTTCATTTAGACAAAAAGGAAATGACTACAACTTCACATTCTCTGCAATCTCAGAGAGAAGTTACCCCCTTCATACAGATCAAAAGAAAAAGAATGAAGAGTGTACAATTTCCAGTTTCATGTGATGATGAAACTGAGCTGGCATAACCCTCATCTCCAGGTACCTGAAAAATCTATTACTTTAAGTGCCACAAATGGAGAACTGATAACATAAGGTTGTTACTACTTCTTTAAGTGTTAGGTGTTCCCAAACCAAATTTTTCATTGGTGAATATTTCCTCTGGAAATCACAGTAAAGGAAGACTCTGATACACATCCAGAAGATTCTGAAGTCTAGGGTTTTTAGTTCAATCATAGCTCTGATTAGTGAAAGTCTACTTGTATGCCATTACAATTAAACAAAGTGATGGACTTCAGTGTAGCACATGAAATGCCATTTAAGTAAAGACACAAACAAATAATTTTACTTCTAGGCCCTTGGGCAGAAAGCCATTAGGAAAGCTGATAATAGAGGATTTAATTGTAATTAAAAAAAAGTACATTTCTATTGAATAATTGCATTCACTCAGTTTCTAAAATGGAGAGAGCATAATATGACATCTTTATCTCAAGGCGTCACTTAAATTTTGTACCCTTCCCAATCACTGCCAAGCAAAAGCTTTTGTTTAAGAGGCTGAGGAGGGATATCATTCAAAGGAACAAAACTCCTGGTGCTGAAATGCTTTGTTGCACCCCACTGTACACAGTCCTCCAGGACAACTCACATCAATCCCAGTGTGAACAGAGTATGTCAAAAAGACAAGGTTAAAAATATGGTCAATCTGTGCCATGATTACTTGCTACAGCTTAAAGAGGTGGAGCTCTTTGAGCCCTGACAGTCCTAACCCTCAAGAAGTAGCAGCTTCACCCAAATGAGATTCTTTTCCTACATTGGGGTTGGCAACCCCTGGCACATGTGCCGAGCATAGCATGCGAAGCCATTTTGCTCAGCACGCCACCACCAGCTCTGACTCTGGGTAGCTGCTGCCAACCACAGAGCCCAGGCTGCTCCCAGCAGCCGGCTGGGAGGCTGCGAGCCCTGCTCCACGGTTGGCAGCAGCTACCCAGAGCTAGGGCTGGGTGCAGCAGGAGGGCTGCAAACAGCTGTGCCAGGCTCCAGCATCAGCTCTGTACCGGCACGTGCACGCATGCCTTGGAAAACACAGTGGGAGGGGCCTGAGGCAGCGCAACCCCAGTCTCTCCCCCGCTGCTGGCACAGAGGTGATGGCCAGGCTCCAGAACATAGTGCAGCTGTTTGTAGCCAGCCTGGGCTCTGGGTAGTTGCAGCAAGCAGGCTGCAAACAGCAGTGCCGGGCTCCACAGCTCTGGCATCAGCTCCATACTGGTGGTGACTGCACACGAACCTCGGAGGACACAGTGGGAGGGCTACGCTGCCTCGGGGCCAGGCCCTATTCCTGCTGTCTGCTCTCTGGTGCACATGCAGTCACTGCCAACATGGAGTTGATGCTGGAGCTGTGGAGCTGGATGCAGCTGTTTTCAGCCTGCCCGCTGCTTGCTGCAGGTGCCCAGAGCTCAGGCTGGCTACATGCAGCTGTGCTGGGCTCCAGAGCCCCACCATCAGCTCTATGCCGGCAGCTGGGGAGAGAGTGGGGATGCGCTGCTTCAGGCCTCTCCCACTGCCCACTCCAAGGCGCGCGTGCATGCACTGGTACAGAGCTGATGCCGAAGCCCAGCACAGCTGTTTCCAGCCTGCCTGCTGCAGCAGCCCACAGCCCAGTCATCAGCTCTGTGCTGGTAGCACGGGAGAGGCTGGGGTTGTGTTGCCTCAGGCCCCCCCACTGTCTGCTGCAAAGCATACGTGCAGCTGTTTGCAACCTCCTGGCTGCTGCCAGCCCCAGCTCTGGGTAGCTGCTGCCAACTACAGAGCCCGGGCTGCTTGCAGCAGGGCTTGCAGCTGAGCCAGCCTGATTCCCACCTGCCCCAAGCCCAACACTGGCCCAGCCCCCCCTACTGGGATGAGGCTGGTGCTGCCACTTGCCAAGAGTGCCACACCTTTACAGGCTTAGCTGCGTGGCGTGGGTGGGTAGCTGGGCAGGCGCAGGCTGGGGCCTCAGCTGGCCGAGCTGCAGCCTGGGGGCTGGCTCTCCAGGGAAGCACAGGGGCTCCAGCAGGCCCAGGGCACTGTTGGGTCAGACTTTGTCCAGTGGCCCAGCAGCCCAGCTCTGTGCACCCATGCATTTGGTTCTGTTATGTCTGTGTGTGCACACGTGTCTGGTTCTGTATGTGCATGTGCACATGTGTCTGTTGTGGCTCTCTGTGTTTGTGCACATGTGGTTCTCTGCGCATGTGTGTGTGTGGTTCTCTCTCTGCTCTCCTTTCTCTCTTTCTCCTCTTTTTCCTTTCTCTTTCTCTCTCTCCTCTTTGTCTTATTTCTTCTTTTCCTCTCTCTCTCACTGCAACATGCTTAACAAAAAAGTACACAACAACAAAGGCAACATTTATGATGATTAAATATACTAATATACAGTGCTTCCTGCCTTGTACCGCTCCCCCCACCCCCGCCTATTTTGTTTTTCTGGCATGCCAGCACTCGGGCACCTTCCAAGGTAGACATTGTGTTTTTTCCGGCACTCCAGGCAAAAAATATTGCCTACCCCTGTCCTACATGCCCCACTCCTGAACCAAGCAAAGCCAAGAGCTGTACCTCCTATCTAGAGTGGACTCAGACTGTAATCCCCAAGGACATGAGCACAGACACCACAGCTGCTGCCAGATGAAAGGGGGGAAAATAAGAGTGAATAGTTCATTTTCACGTTCCCAGCCTCACTTGCGTCAAGGAAAGGGCTGTCTGTTAGGAGGCAGTGCACAGTGACTGAGGAGTGGGTTGGGGAAGCATGACAGAAGAGACAAAGGGATCATCATTTGTTAACAAGAATGAGGGAGAATAAGAAATGCAAGTACAAAGAACTGTAGAGGGAAGAAATGAGAAGAATATATATTATTAATATGAATAATATCCTATAACTTCCGCTCCCATTCCAAAGGTCTGTTTAAGCTTATTGTAGGGAAGACCAATTAAACTGCTTCATATGTGTTCTGTTTTTCTCGGGCAAGATCCAGGAGGCAGGTACTTACCATCTCTTGTCAGGTTCATGCCACCAAACACTAGAGGTCCAATGAACTGGGCCTTGATATCTCCTTCAAGGTAGATGAAAACTGTGGGCAGGTTCCTATCAGGGTAGTTGGGTATGCAAGTTGTAGAAATAGCTTTGATAAATTTGACATCTGGGAATTTCTTTGCAAGTCCGCTCAGATGTTGATTTATTAAAGCACACAGTGGAATTCTGTTAAGAAAATATACACAGAAAGAAGAGTTAAGAAATAGTATGTCAAAAGTAATCCCTTCCACAAGGAAAGTTAGAAAAAGTATTTATGAAAATGTAACAAACATAAAAATGTAACATAAATGCAACATATTTCTAGTGGCTTTCAATCCAGTATACATATCTATTAGAGCCACTGGAGTTATTTATTATAATTATTTATTTGGTTTGCAGGATACTGTTTCTATGAATAATGCACGCTAAAAAAACAGAGATAAAATGGAAATAAAAAACATCTTGTTAAAGAAAAGAATTAAACATGTGCTCATTTTCTTTGTCTTTTAAACTGTGCTGTGCAGTTTTGGAATTAATTAAAACAGGATTAAAGACAATGAGAACAGTCAAGTTTTTAGTACCCTTTCGAGAACCACGTATAGTGAAAACTGGTTAGGCTCCATTGAAAAACTATTTCTTAACATCAGTGGGATGGAACACCTTACTTAACAGAGTTTTGCAAATCAAGACAAGCCACATATAACTCTATAATCACCTTGAGTACATAGCCTCAAGCAATATAGAACATGGCAACCTCTGCTCCTCAACTTTTCACTGGAAGAGGATGCTTGTATTAGCAGGCAGATTTTGACTCCAACATCTGATGAAGTGAACTGGGTTCATGAAAGCTTGTGGCTCTCTCTCTACATACTACATTTATTTCAATATAAGATAACCCTGAATATAAGATGACCCCCAAGTAATTAAGTTTTAAATATGGAAACTTTATAAATTTGTCATACCTTTCCAGGCATAGGATCTAATTACTGGAGTTTTGCCTTGAATTTGTCCCCCTCCCACTGCTACAGCAGAAAAAATAAATCGGGGGGGGGGAAGAGGGGAGTTGGGTGGTCCCCTTGCCCTGTGCCCATCCCCCAACTTCTTCAATGTAGCCCTTTCCCTTCCTCCTTATGGTCAGACCCTGATCTCCCTGAGCACATGGAAGTGAAGGGCAAACTTGAAAACACTGACTCTAAAATAAACATGCAATTACTGTGCATACCCATAGACAGTTCGTGCAATTACTATGGGTACTATTACTCATCCAGAATTGATGCATTTTACCTTTTTGGAAACTGCTACAAATTTTAGCACAGGTACTGCATAAACACACTTTTAAGCAGCATTTTTGTGCCTATTTATATATAGAACAAATTATGCATGAGATTAGTCCAAAGCCAAAAAGGCTCATGATTTACCATATAAATGGGCCCCAGCAGTCAACAGTATCTCAAGCCATGGTGACTCCACAGCTCAGAACTTCTCAGTATGTGTGTGTAGTCCATATACCCTCCACAAAGGATACATGTGCTAATTAACACCCCCTAAACTCATGACTGAGGGCAACCTGGTCCAGCTCCATGTCATGGAGGGTGGGACCACGCTAAACACATGCGACAGGCAGAGATCAGGAAATGGAGAGGCAAAAGAGGGATTCTGGGTGAACTGTTTGGGGCCCCGTTTGGTGATGTTTTCCAGGCATCTGAGGGTGGTGAAGAAACAAGAATCACTGGAATTGGGAAAGAAAGGCTCAGCTTGCTGTGAGACGTTGTAATGTATTCAAGGTAATGGCTCACCATGACAAGTAAAAGAGTTGGCACTGAAGGAGAGTTTGTGCAATAATCATTACCACATATCATATTCAGCTGGGCTGTCCTAACCTATCCTTGTGGTAGGTTCCCATCAGCATGTTTGTCCAATATGGACCATGCGTTTATAATCATGTTCAGTGTTGGCTGCACTTAATGAACTTCGTAGTTAATTTTTATTACTGAGCACATGCTGCTCAGTAGACAGTGTATTTAATGATGTTTCTTTGAATGCAAATAGGAGACAAACGGCTTTTCTCCTAATGCTGATTGAGGGGGAAAACCTCATCTTGTATTTGGGTAAATACAGCGTATATATTTTATTTGGTTAGTCTATAAAAGTGCATATCTACTCTGCCTTCTGACTGACTTCAGACTAACGCAGTAACTACCTCTCTCTTGGTATACATAAACATGCTGCTGCTTTACGGAAGCAATTTTCAGTAGGTACATTTCAACACTATTCATAACTGATGAAAATAAGAAAAACCACATTCAATTAGAATTTTTTGGTGTCCATAATGGTTATGCATTTGCCTAAAAATATCAGCATGTTCAGATGCAGTTAGTGACCAATGTCAAAGCTGACAGGGACACTCCAGTTTACTTACCCTTGTTTGTAAAGATGCAAGATTACCCATATATCTTTGCCAGCTTTGGTAACTTCTTGAATATAATCCTGACCTGAAATCTCCAAAAGTTCCCCAAATTTGTTCTTCATTTGAGTTGCTTTCCATTCTGCAAGCCTTTGCTGTCTGTACAAGCACAGAAAAAATGGAAAAAGCAGAAATCAAAACCTGAGAAAACATGTAGTTATTGCTTTGCTGAACACAAACAATTAAAGTTATAGATTTTGAAGACCAGCCCACAAAGATAAGCTTTAAATATCTCCAAGCACCAGGGTACCAAAAGAGGGCTTTTGTAGAGAAGAGTACTTGAAAGTCTGTACATAACCTTAGTTTATGGACCTATGATGCACGAAGGAGTAAACTGAGCTTAAACTGGTATCCGTTTCCCCTGGGAGAGTCACTGCCACCAAACACTGGAGATCCAATGAACTGGGCCTTGATGTCTCCTACGTATTAGATGAAACTGCAAGAATACAGATATTCAGGATTTTTCTCCCAGAGCAAAAATGGTCGCTCCACAAGAAAATTTAACTTGGTTGCTTCTGGGTTAAATCACTCCTGGGAAAGTTTCTCCTAGGAGAGCCAATGTCTGTAAACATTCTCATCTGAGAGAAGCCCAGCACAGTCCAACAGCATCTGAGGGTGCTTTGTTGCCATCTTCCTACCCCCAACAGTATGTCACTTGCTGGACTCTGCTGCTCCAGCTGAGCAGGGAACAGAACACATCCCCTTCACAATCCCATACTGTGCTGCAGGAAGATACAGGATGACTCTTGAGTAGTCTAGCTGCACAGGGCAGCTAATAAAGACTGCCCTGTGCACTGCTGCCATTCTGTCACCTGGCAAACTGAGGCAGCCTGAGGCTACACAGAGTCAGCATTGCAAGCACTCTACTCTTCAGAGGCTTAACCTCTGAATGTCTCTTCAGGTATCCCCAGGTAAGTCATACCAGGGGAATAAACCCAAGAGCATTGTCCCAGGTTATCTAAATGTATGTACACTGTTCATAATAGCCAACATCACAGATTCTGCCCTAGATGCATTTTTAGCCGTTGCGCATGATAAAACACTTGCTTACATCTAAAACATTACATTTTTCGAGTAATTTAGGTGCCTAACTTGAATACCAAGGAGTTGATTTTTAGAGGTCTTCATAATTCACTGATTTCCACTCAGCTTATGGCTTTAAGGTACATCTGAAAGGTGAAGCCATAAATAGTTAAATGTAGACTAAGCGTCTTAGTTAAGGTCATTCTGAAATCTGTCAGAACAAGGAGCAGAACACCAGTCCTTTCATCTGTCACTTCTGTGTTTTTTTCCTTCCTCCATTCTCCAGCAAAATGAAAATCAAACTGCATGTTATTTGCCTATAAAGAAGTAATCATTGTATTTCCATTAAAATATAGTAAATTCTGCAAGCTGCTCTAACCTGTACATTTCAATGGCTCTCTCATCCTCCTCGTTAAACTCATCTTCATTATCTTCTAGCTCTTCCAAAGTCATGTCTTCATAGGTTTTCACTAGAGTGAGAGAAAAATAGGAGGAACAATATTTCAAAAGAATACATATATTACAAATTTCTGGAAGTTAATTACACTGTGTTCTCCTGGCCTCTGAAGATGCATACTTCATTCTGATTTTTCCTAAATTGTTGAACAAAACAATATAAAATGATTACTGGGAAAAGAACTATGTTTAGAAACCCCAATTTACTAGTTTGGACATTTTCTAAATTTAGCAGGTGGTAAAGGATACGTCAGAGGTACTGCCAGTTACCCTGTGGCATACATTTGCTATTATATAACGTCACTATATTAAAAACCTGAGGAACACTTAGAAAAATTAAAATGAATCAGCTAATGGTGTGATGTTAATGTAAAAATAAGAAGTATTAAACCCTGTGATCCAAGCCCACTTTTCACCTAAAAAAAAGAGTCTCCACATGGGGGATTAACACACTTTAAGTAACACGCATTGACTTAACACCTTCAATGCAATCATTTTAACTTTCTTGAGAACCCCTATGCAAGCCAACCCTGATGATGTACTGTCACAGTTGTAACTCTAAATAAACTTGATAATGAAGTAATTCAGGGAAAACTTTTTTCTTCTGAGCATCAAGTTCTTGTTTGGTTGGGATCACAGGTGCTTTTACTTTAGATAGATATATAGTGGTGTTTCATTTTAATCATGGAAAAATGTGGGTTTGGGGTTCTTTTTTTTAAACCGAAAATTGGGGATTTTTTTTTTTAAATCAGAGAAAGCCAGGATCCCTGCTGCTGACATTTCAGATATATTTAATTCATCTCTGCAGAATTACATGAGTTCTCCTACTTCTCTGAATCATGCTAGAAGAAAATGTTCATTCCAGAAATAAGAATTGCTGTCAAAGACATAGTCTTGCAGAGCGTTTTTGTTTGTTTGTTTGTATTTTGCTTGGTTTCAGTTTTAAAGACAGCTCTCCTTGTAAATCTATCAACTGATTTACAGCATTATTAGCTGATTTTTCTAAAATGCCATAGTGCACTTAATTTATTTAGATATAAATAAATGTGACGACCATGATCCAGTGGACTGGCAAACTGAAGTGTGTCTCAAACCCTGCAAGTGCAGTGCAGAAATGTACCTGGAGGTATACATGCCCCAACATGGGTTAACTGAAAAACTTCTTTCTTGCCTTTTAAGGAGATGGGTTTCTTGTTACACAGGCATGTTGGTACTTATTCTAGATTTCTTTTGCTTGTTTGTTTTGCTTTTTAAAAAGTGAGTAAATTTAAATGTGGCAACAGTATCCAGAATGAAGCTCTGAGGAGGTGGAATTCATCAAAGTTTGATGAGCTTACTCAGCTGAGCCTGTAACAAGTGAAGCACACCACATGAAGTTTAATCTTGGCATCCTCTAACTAGAGGGGGGAAGTTGTTTTTACCTTTAGGCTTTTTCAAAATTGTTGACAGTAATTTTAGGGCAAAACTGTACAGCAACAACTCAAAAGATTTAATTTGCCACTGCCTGTTCCCCCCTCGCAAAAAAACTCACCAATGGACTGCTGTTGAAGAATACGCAGCTCTTCCTCCTCCTTTGCCTGCTCTTGTTCCTTAAGTTTTTCCTTCGGAGGAAGGATGCCCTTTTTACGCAAGATGTCATTCCACTCAGTATCTTCATTAGGGTTCTAGAACAAAAATGGAGAAGGTGCATTTCTGCAAGGGAACATTTCTGCAACCTGTTAATCCAGCCAACTTGCTATTACTTATATCAGCTTTTTGTAAGAGTCATACATCATTATTAGACTACTAACTCTGTCATATACGCATCATAAAAACATGCAGAGAATCTGATGATGGTGGGATTCCTGTACAGGCTTGAAATGATGCCCTGCAAAGTAGCTTGTGCCATGCTCCTTTCTCTTTTCTCCTAACTCATGAAATCTACAAAAGAAAGGCTTCTGCTGCAACCTCTCAAAAAAATAAATGGTTGTTCTGCAATTCTACCCCAATAGGGCCTCCAAAGGAGAAAAAGGTGATCTAGATCAAGAGCATTAGGGAAAATGGAACAGGGCAGAGCAGGTGCCTACCTGCAGACAGCACTTGCTTTTGCTTTAAAACAAAAAACTTCTTCCAATTTGTGACTATTCTCATGGCCAGAGCTAGCTAGAAAACAGGACGTGCCACATTAAAGAAATTCAGTTTTCCACATCATAACTTTGAAAGACTTGTGGCCAATTTTGGCAACAGAATTTTCCTTCTGTGCCAATAGGGTAGAAGTGATGGTCTGTCTTCTGCTTCACATAGGCTCCAAACTTAACTCTCACCATAGGAAACATCTGTCTCCATAGCAAACACAAGTTGGTGAAACTATTCATGTACCTGAAGCTAGGCATGGAAAACTGCCTGCAAGTCCTTGTCAGCCAATCAAAAGCAGGCTAACCTATAACCAGTTGGTACATTTATCATTAAAAATTGTTGTGATACAATTATTATAAATTTTAATACAAATTAAAGGCCCAGAGGCACCTAAATACTCCTAAGGTCTGGGCCTATAGCCATTCAAGAAACTCTCAGCAGCCTATTTAAAAAAAAATCAATTTAAAACATTTTTTTTTAATCAGTGCAATACAACGTGGTAAGAACCTTTATTATGATTTCACCCAAGTCAGTATGGAGTCAACTTGAAAAAAATCCCAGATAAGCTACTTCTACACCAAAACAAGAATATCTACATTGGATTTTGCACTGTTTTATAAGTATATAGCTTTAACTAAGTTGGTGTGACTGAATATAAGGAATCGAAAATTCCATAGGTTCTTGTCCAATGCAATAGAAACAGTTGATGCTTAGGAAGGAAATGATCAAAAAACATAACACTTAACACTTCGATAGAGGGCTAAATGATTCAACAGCTCCTTTTGATACCCCAGTGGAAATACACACTAACTTGGGAAAAAAATACTGTTTTCAAACAAAAAGGTGCCATTGGATAATACTGAATCTCTCTCTCAGATACACGTAAGACATTGGAAAGTTGAAGAGAAGTCCAACTCACAAAATACATGTTTTAATAAAACTCTACTAATCAAAGGAGCCATAGCTGCATAGCCAACAAGTCTGCAGAAGGCCAAGGCTAGCTTCATCTCTCCAGCTCATGTCACCAACACAACTGCAAAGCTCCTGTTATTGCAATGTCAAATTCTGTGAGTGCAAAACTAAAGGCAGAAACTGGCCAACAAAAGTTGCATTGATGAAACACAAAACAGAAACTTTCCAAGAAGACTTGCAAAGCTTTGGGCATATTTCTAAGGCTGCTGACTGGGAAAACTGAACCATGTTCTTTAGTTTCTTGTAAACTTGGCAAAATTCATTAGATCTTAGAGACACTCCACCGTCTTCCTCAGCCAGTTATGTTGCAGCCTGCTATCATGGAAGGGCTGGTAGGCTCTTTACAGACCACACTGAAGACAGGGCAGGGTGTAGGTGCTTAGGGAACATTTGTAGGGACTGCATGGACCTGAGTGTCAGTAGAGCCATCCTTGCCAGAGGTGCAGAAGTCTGCAAGTTTGATTTCCTTCTCTCCTCCTATGGAAGCAGCTCTCAACTCTTTCAGACTCCAGCCCCGCCCCCCACTAGAAAATGCCAGCTCTTGCCTTTCACCTGTCTTTTGAAATTAGGAGAACAGCAGATATGGTCTTCAGCTGCAGAGAACTCAGAAAGACCCTAGCAGGACTGAATGGCTGCAATGCTATGGGTCTCTATAGGAAAGCCCTGGACTTCTCGTGACTCATGCTGACAAGACTTTTGAAAGGATCTCAAGGCACCCTGGCGGAGAACCAAGAGCAGTGAGCGTTAAGTACAGCAGTTCTGGAATGAAAACCAGGGACAAGCCAACAAAGCCAGGCTGGCTGTCAAGGTGGGGCTGAGATTGGGCCCTGGTGACAAGAATCAGAGGGCCATGTTACATGGTAATTATAGGTGCCTCCTAGAGCTCTTAACTCCCGGGTTGTCCACACGTTAACACCCTGAAGTGGTTTTAAACACTTGTTATGTGGTCCAGAGTTATACCACTCCAGGGCAGGATTCTCTTTCATCTGCACTACCCAACTGTTCCTTTTAGGTGTGCCCGCTCTCCACAGATGTGCTGCCCAAAATGAAGCCCTCCAGGATCTCTCACACCCCTGCCTATAAAGTGGGGATAGGAGCCTGTCCTGGTTCACCAGCCCTCCAGTGGCAACTCAGCTACAGCTCCTAGTCCTGCCCCTGCTCCCCGTCACAGCTGTGCAGGCAGGAGCCACTCAGGAGAAGGTTTCTAGACCGAGGGTGACTGCTCCAAAATCCAAGCTACCATAACACTGATCAACATTAGTGCGGCTCCCAGCATAAGTGAAACAAGGCTAGATGGACCCCAGCAGGGCTGAATGGCGTGACACTATAGGTGCCTATGAGGAAAGCCCCAGGCCTATCCTGCCACTCACACCAAGGGGGAGCTGATAAGACCCTGGAAAGGAGCTGGGGAGCAACCCTGGTGAAGAACCATGGGCAGTGAAAGCTATGTCTTGACTGGCCTGGGAAAAAAAAGGCAACAGAGCAGCATTACCAGGTCTTAAATATGAAAGTATTGTGTTGGAAGCTCAAAATGATCGTATTTGCTGAAAAACTATCGTGCACTGCAAAAGTCAGCAACTAAGTCGGCAATGAAGCCTTCTTATTTACTTTATATTGCTCATTATAACTCGCTAGTGAGTGAAGGAGTCAAAGTTGAAGCACTACTTTATTTCGAGGCAAGCAGGCACAAGATGGTGCTAACGGCAAGCCCCAGTCAGTTAAAACTCCTGGGGAACGACCCGGGCTGCATCAATGAGCTGCCTCCAACATTATCCTACATTTTGAACACTTCTCTCATAGATCGCGCATCTGGCAAGAGTTGAAATGATCGCACAAATCCGAGAGTGGTCGGACACCCGGCACCACTGCAACAAACCCAGGCTGGCTGCGGCGGTGGGGCTGAGGCTGGGCCCTGGTGACAAGGATCAAGAGACCGTGGGTGGGTGGATTTCCTCCCCCTCCCCCCATGGCTTGGCTCTCCTTTGCACCAGCACGCGGCAGGGAGGCGGCCGGGCGCGGGGAGCCGGGGCCCCTGGGGGCCGTGCAGCGCGCAGGGCCCGCGCTCACCTGCATGGCGCCCGCAGCGGGCTCCGGCCGCCGGGGATTGCGGCCTGCGACACGCGCGCGTGGAAAACGGCAACAGCGGCAGCGATCTCAAGCCCAGGGCCGGATAGCGTGTCACAGCGCTGCACCGGCTTCCTCCCTCGCCTTATAAGGGCTGGGGCCGCTGCCCTGCCCGGTTGCACAGCAGGGAGGAGGGAGGCGGCTGCGCAGGCGCTGGGGAGCCGCGAGCGGCTGCCAGGCGGCGGGGTCACCGCGCGGCTGGGCTGCGCTCTCGCTGCTGTCCGCGCCTTGCGCTGAGCTCTCAAGGGAATTCCCCCCAGGAGGGAACTATACGTCTCTTGTCACAAACACACCCTCAGGGAAATGTGCGCGCGATACTCACACGCCTCTCCCCTCAAGGGAACTGTATGTCTCTCGTCACATACACACACCCTCAAGGAAAGTGTGCGTATGTGTGTGTCCCTCTCTCACCCCCGGGAAACTATTTCTCAAACCCACACACGCCACCCTCCCTCAAGGGAATTGGCAATACCAACCTGACCAGCACTACGGATGAAGGAAACCCTGGGGGTCATAATAGACCATAGCATGAACATGAGCCAGCAGCGCGATACTATAGCCAGCAGGGCAAACAATACTCTGGCGTGCATCCAGCAAAACCAAGGAGGCGATTCTTCTTCCCTACTTGGCATTGGTGAGACCACAGCTGGAGTACTGCGCCCACTAGTGGGCACCACACTTTAACAAGGACATGGACAAGCTTGAGAGAGTCCAGCGAAGAGCCGCCTGTATAATCAAAGACTTGCGTGGCAAGCCATACAGGAAAGGCTGAGGGACCTGGGACTCTTCAGCCTGAAAAAGAGATGGCTGAGAGGGGATTTGGTAGCAGTTTACCGCTACATCAGGGGCTCAGTGAACAACTGTTCACCAGGTCACCCTTAGGGACAACCAAGAGTAATGGCCAAATTCCCAGAAGACCATTTCAGGCTCAACATTAGGAAAAACTTCACAGTCAGGGTGCCCAGACTGTGGAATAAGCTCCCTCCGGACGTGGTGCAATTGCCTACCCTGGAAATTTTCAAGAGGAGACTGGGCAGCCACCTTGCTGGGGTCGCCTGACCCCCAGTTATCTTTCCTGCCTGGGGCAGGGGGCTGGACCCAATGATTTTCCAAGGTTCCTTCCAATCTATGGCTCTATGAATCTCCTGCACCCCCTCAAGGGAACTATCACATGTACACTCCCTCAAGGGTGTGCTGTTCAAAATGAGGGCAGGGAAGGAGGTAGGAAATAGCTACACTACATTAGTTAATATCCACTAAGACTGAGTCTCTCTTCTCTAGGCACCTGCTACCTCCTTGTGGACTTTTTAGAAGAGCTATAGGCAATAAAGGTAAAGAACCACTTAATCTCTCAGAAGTCAAGGTCTAAATACCATCATCTAGAGGGGGTTCCCAAAACTGTAGTCTTACATACTGCCAGGCCTATGTATCCATCTCTGGGGGGTACATGTGAAAAATTGTGTAATGGCAGATTTAATTCTCATTATCATAATTGGCATTTAAGGGGTTAAAATATAAAATATATGCTGGAAGGGGAACATGGGCAGCTAGTAAATCTGGAAGGGGGTACATAATAAGAAAGAGTTTAGGAACCTCTGGTCTAGAGTGATTCTCAAGTTCAGCTACTACCTTATGTACCTGTAGAAGTAGACTTTTAGATAGATATACACACCTTCTTAATTCTATGCCACATGGTTAACCCATTAGCAACAGTAGGACTTCTTTCATACATAAGCTTTGGTAGGGCATAAAAACTTGGCAGGCTTGGAGCCTGTGTATATTTACTACATGAAAAAGGTAGTACAACATAATCCAACCTCAACAAATAAAAAGGCTAAGATTCTCAGCGTTTCATAACATGTTGAATTTTTGTGGGGTTTGTTTTTTTATCTTAAGGGGGAAAAACAAAATCTTATGGAAAGGCTAAGACTACATGGTTAACTAAAATTTTCCAGTCTAAAATGAAAACAAGAATGTTCCAATTTAATCAAGGGCTGCAATTGCATAGATTTTAGTTATTCTTTTTCTTCCCCTGCTGTTGTTTCTTCTCTTAACAGCTATATAAAGAAATGAAAGAAAATCCTGGCACTTTATTTACATAGGTGGGGCTCAGCTATTTTCTTGGGTTGCCAGACAAAGATAGACTCAGATAAGTGAGCCTGAAACTATCATAGAGACTAAGGTACCATTTCTGCAAGCACTTTCAGAAATGTTGCATAGGCACCATCCTAGAACTATTCATAGGTACAGATATTCTCCATACACCTGGCTGAGGGAGTATGGGGCCATCTGATTATGTTGACTTCATTAGGAGTAAAATTGAGTAAAAGTTTACAAGACTGAAGGCTTAGATTGTAAGCCTCAGGGGAAGGGACTATTTTTGTTACATGTTTGATGTACTTAACAAAATGAGATATTACTACAGACTAGAGCCCAAGACTATCACAATAGAATAAACAAATAAACAGGCATGTTAGCAATCCTGCATCTGTTCACTGCTAACAGATCTTTGATGTGTTGAAACTCATTAAGACTAGCACCTGGCAACATTTAACTTTGAAAAAAACCATTTTGGAATAATAGTTCCTAACTAAAACTTTGCATTTCAGTAAATGACATTATTTTTCTTTTATCAAGTTATATGAAAACACATACTACACTACGTTCTGGGCATGCTGAAGCTTTTTTTGGCCTTCTCCCAGAACTGTTAGGAAGCACCCTAAGACTATTCTTCCTTCTTATTAAAAGCTTATACTTTTTATATACATCCAGGATATTGTACAGTACCTATCAATTTGGTACTTAAGATCCATGGACAATTAAGTAGTAACAGCAGATTTGTTTCTCACCAACCCGCTAAGAGGAGGTCTGTTAGGATAGGAATTTGATTTTGGAAATTGTATAGATGTTTGGGGCACAGTGCTCTTGAGATAAGGATCTCTCAAAAAGCTGGCACTTACATTTGGACCTAAAATTACCCACCTAGTGACAACCACATGTGAACTGTGCAGCTGCCAAATTCCTCCAATCCTCAGTTATATAGACCAAAAGGTTGTTTTAATATGGCCAATATAAATTTGGCCATCACTACCCTGACTGTCTTTTCTGGCCTTGGGTCCAGGAGTCCTTAGTAATAGGAGCTATGATGTGAAATTTATTGACAAAACAAAATAGATAATCTTACTGAAGCCAATCTAGTGCAACAAGCTGCTTGGAAGCCTGGCAGACAGACCGCATACAAAATTTCTGGGGCAGATGAGAAAACTGTAAGGGCTAGGCCACATAATCCTCTCATCTCTACTTGGAATTTAGTGGGTTGTCAGAGAGAGATGGAAACAGAAGTCTTTGTCAAGGGGTAAATCACAAAGTAAATAGATTATGAAGTGAGAGAAGATAAATAACGGAAGCAATAAAAAAAAAAGTGTAGCTCTTTACCTTGGTTTCATTTTCCCCACTCATTTGTTCTGTTAAAGAGCTGCGTATTGAGTCTAGCAAGCTACACACAATGTAAGTCTTTACTATTCATTCTATCCAGGAAGAGCACACACCAACTGCAGATGCTTCTTTAGCTGGATGAAAGGTATTTATACCCAAAAAGCTTGCTAAGAAGAATGTTTCCAACTATATGAGTTGGTCTAATAAAAAAATACCAGATTTACCCAAAGAACCTTGTCTGCCTATGTTGTCCTTAGACCAATATAGCTATAACCTACATCACAGTAAACATGCACACATTTAAAGTAATTTTGATGTGATCTCAAAGTGGATGCTTATACAGGGGCTTGCCACAGATCACATTGTAATGCATACATAAAAATAGTACAACTTCATATTTTGTAACTGTAGGAGGCCTGGTCTAAGTGACAAGACAACATACCTCAACAATGTTGGCAATGTTATTTTGATTTTATCCCTCATTTGAATTTAGGGCACATCAAGGATGCTCCTCACATGACACATTCTTTTTATACTCAAGTCCCCACTTTTGTTTCACTACCACTATTGTACTCTGCAAGGCATAAGGCTGCTCAATACAGATATACATTGGGAGTAGATCAACTGAATTATTTCAGTGAGAGAGAGAACAAACCCAGGCCCTTTTTCAGTTTTCACCTTAGTTCAGCATCACAACATCCCCCACTGCAACAAGCTTTCCAACTTTACTGGGCAACTTTGTAGGCCAGCAGCACTATCAAAACTTCTGATAGGATTATGTTTCTTGATCAAATGACTGGCAAATGGAGAGAACCTCCATCCTCCAAAAATCCACTTCACAGGTAATCTTGAGTACTTGGGTTTACCTAGGGACTTGGCAAGGATATCTATTTATTTCTTGAGCAGATTTTCTTATACCATTTGCTCCACTAAAGGTGCTCCTATTTGCATGCTTTGTTCTATAAAATATCTCTCACCTCACCTCAATAGGACACTGAATAAATCTTGCAATGCAAGCCATATTCAGACTTTTCTCCTAGTATAACTGTTTCAATATTACTTCAAAAGATTCAAATTTGCATTGTTTAAATTCAAGACAAACATGCTGGGGGGTGAGGAGAGGAGAGGGAAGATAAATTATTGAATTAATGGACAGAAATACAGATAACAGTACATACCATTTAATCTGAGTTTAATTTCAAAAGTTAAAGAAAATATTATTTAAAATAATTCATTTGAATATGTGACTGCAATTTGCATATGGCACATGTTAATTAACAAGAGAACCATGTACATAAAGAAAGAATTCCAGGCAGGGAGGAAGTATACATTTTTTTGTAGGTCAGTTGTTACTGGATTTTTCCTGAGACAGGGCAGCCTCCTTTCCTGCTGAAGGGACTTCAGAAGATCTCTTGGGAAGAAGCTGGGCAAGAATGTTTGGTAAAACACCTCCTCCTGCAATGGTCACACTTGCAAACAGCTTGTTCAGCTCTTCATCATTCCTTACCGCCAGCTGAATGTGCCTTGGCATAACCCTGACTCTCCCATTTGTACGGGCAGCGTTTCCTGCCAGTTCCAGTATTTCAGCACTCAGATACTCCAGCACTGCAGCCAGGTATACAGCAGCTCCAATACCAATTCTCTGAGCATAGTGCCCTCTTCTGAGAAGCCTATGAATACGCCCCACTGGAAACTGCAGATCAGCTCTTGCAGCCTTGCTTGTTCTTATAACCATAGCTTTCTTTGTTTTTTTGCCAGCTGATGGCATTTTTACTCAGCTGAGGGAAAGGATATGGAAATAATTACTTAAAGCATCAAGCCCCAGGAACCTCCCCCTGCTCCTCAATTCCTAAATCAAAAGAGTGGGGGAAGAAATCCCAGCCATTCTTTTGTACAATATTCTATTCATTTATCAACTAGTTATACATAGTACCAGGCAACATTTAATACATACTGTTATGTCCAGAAGAACAATTGGGGCACAACTTTTTTTTTTTTTTTTTTTTTT